GCCTGTGATCTTTCGTTTGGATTCCTGAATACTTGGGCTAGATCTGTTAGGACGGTCGAGAGAGTCGGCCATACAGGGGTAGTTGCGTCGAGAGCTTTGGTAAGCACGTTCTCTTTCCAAGCTTTTACTGTCAACGTTCCTTGGTCGCTGATTTTGGACAGGAGGTAGATGAGCTTTGTCTTCTCGTCTGGAAAGTAGGATGCATAGGCGGTTAAGTACAACTGTAGTGCTTGGCGCCATGCTATGAATCGTTCCTTCTCTCCTTTGAATTCGAAGGGTTCTGCTGCGAGAGTTACTTTGCCGTGTAACTGCGTGGGGTTAGACATGGATGAGGGTTTTGGAGGAATTGGAGGTGGAGGTGGGCGTGTAGGCGGTAGCGGTAGGGTTTGTCTGGGCGGAGTCTCCGGTTCTATGGACGGCTTTGGGTTTCGATATTCGGAAAACACTTTGGAGGATTGAAACGAGGTTTATTTAGTTTGAATCGTAATCAAACTCGTCACTCCAATCGTTAGAAGTAAATCCAAAAATATTCTCCTCTTCTTCCAAATCTCTTTCTACCTGTGAGCTAGTGGTAGAGTTACTGTCCAAGTTCGAGGTCGTTTCGTCTGGTGAGGGGGTTCTTTCGATAAGAACATTTCCTTGGATCAACGAGGAGACGGGAGGGATGTAAGAGAAATTTCCTCTAGTCAGATGGTACCCTGGTTTGTACTGCGAGTAGACTCTGTTGTTATCTCAAATAAGTACTCCCCAGAACTCGGTGTTGATTTCGGTAACGATGAAACGGTCTGTGGGGTGGCAGATGACTAAATCAAAAACTTCTTTCCCGTAGTTTTGGTATTCTCTGAACAATCGGCAGACGTTCCTGATCTGTCTCTGTTCTCTTTCCCAATTCCTTCCTTCAAGGATCTCGTGTCCAATCTTAAACACTAGTTTGCGAAATTGCGATATGCAGGCTACTATCCTTCGTATTGCGTCGCGGCAGAAAGGGGTGACAACTAATACGTGGACTCCTGTCTTGAGATAGTCTCGTGGGTTGAAGGCGTCGTTCTGTTCGGGAGTGAGGGGGATGTCGAAGAAGAATGGTATCTCCCGATAGAACTTGATGAGATTGGTTTCGTAAATTCCAATTCTCATAAAAAGAAGTTCAAGAGGGGTAGGATTAAATGATGCTGTAACGTATACGTCAATTTTGGATGGTTCGAGATACGGCGTAAGGAATCCTAGGTAGGGTGCGGAGTAGGGTCGTCGGTGGATGATGATTCCACAGGGAAGCAGGTAATGGATCTCTCTCCCGTCCTGTTCTGGTGAGAACGCGAGTTGGGGAGTTTCAACGTAGTTCTGAAGGTGATAGATGCGTGGGGAGATTCCGTCGGATAGTATGAGAAGAGCTGTTTTATGTTCTGCCGCCCGTCGTCTGAGGGCTCGTCTTTCTTCACTGTCGTTCCGACGAGGGGGTTCTAGGATTCTCTGTTCGTAGACTTCGATCGGTAGGTGCTCTAGGTGTATCGAATTGAACCTGAACAATTCTCTGGACGCTTGATCGGATTCCCAAAAGCAGGTTTGAGCAGCTGCTGACGCGTAGTCGAGTAAGCGCAACATATTGACGGAGTTGGGAGATTTTGAATGCTAAATCGTCGACGGCTAGAACTAGTCCTTCTAGTTCAGAGATGGGGGAAGAGGCGGCTGATGAGTCTTCGTAGTACTCAGTTTCTGTGCCGCTGTGGGCAGGCTGGGGATCCGTGGCAGCGTTGACAGGTACTGCAACGTGGAGGTCTCGGTTGTTGAGGGCGCGGTGGAATTCCTCGAGTGAACGTCGTTCTTCGTCCGTTACTAGGCTCTCTCTGGTGTTCGACAGTTTTGACGATTGTAGAAGTGATCAAAGACGAAGGCTAGGGTGAGGACTTGAGCAAGAACAAGTAAGAGTATTACTTAGAGGTGGGTAGGAATGTTGGAAAGGACAACTAGCTAGCTTAGCTAGAAGGCAAGTGGATGTTTTGGATGGGTAGGAGGACGGTGAATGACAGCACGTCCGAGGGATGAAGGAAAAGGTAGGTTAGGGCTATAATGGGTTCAAGCGAGATGGTGCGCTGTGAACAGATTGTAGAGTGAGTTTTCTATTTTGTGAGGCAACGATAGACTATAACAAAAACTAAACCTATCTCCTTCTGCACTTGCAGGGAGTAAGGGTTCAATGAGCTTGAGGTCGACAGACGCTAGTAAATATAGCGAGTAGAGGACTTTGAGTGGTAAGCTTCAAAGGTTCTTGTTGAGGAGTAAAGCGGGTAAATTCAGTAATAGAAAACTAAGGAGCCATACATGAATAGGTAAGGCTTTATATAGGGAACTGTCCGTTCCTCAGACCGAAAGGAGAATATACGAAAAGTGGTCTGAGGAATTAATCAACCAATAAGAAAAAGGGAGAGTAACTATTGTACGACTTTTGACTTGAATTAATCAGCAGGTGAGAGACTTGTACTAATAATAGAGGATCGTCACGCGTTGTCATGCACCAAAGTTGATTGGTAGCATGGACAGGTGTCAATAACGAAGCGAATATTCAAAAAGACTCGCCTTTGCGCCACACAGGCACAGTGCCACGTGGAATAGTAATTAATATTGCCCTTTTTGAACTTGTGGCTGATCAGCACCACCTCTATTAGGCAATCCAGTCACGCTCACCTTTGCTTTTCCATCCGGTACTTTCCGCGTTTCGGCATTTCGGCAAATTTTTGCGTCGCCACTGGCTACACATTGCATTGCGCCCTCGCTTTTGTCGTTTCTCTTACTCCCCTTCCTTTGCCTAACCCCACCATGGGCCCCTTCCTCTCCTTTTTATTCTCACCCGACGGTCGTTTCTGGGTCCCCATTTTAGTTCACCTCCTCGTCACCTCCACCCTCCTCCTCCTCATCTTCTTTGCACCCCCACCATTTCTGATGTCACCACTTCCTATCCGCTTCCGTCGCCGATCCGTTGACTACCACGTGCCACTGCTGATATCAGCAAAGCCCCGGCGGCCGGTCCAAATAGGGCAACAGGTCCATCTTCATGATGTCGATCTGCCATCATATACTATCAAAACATCGGTCACTCGTCTTGCCTGGTTGGAGCGTGGGTGGGTAGTTTTTGAGCTGGAGAAGGTTCATCCCCTTGCGTCGCCCATGTTCATCGCTGTCCCATTCACTTGGGTACACTTATCATTTGTCCATCGTCTTCGCTACAGCTACACCTATCACACGCTGCCTGGGACTCACTTGTTCCAAATTGGAACTACTCCTCTCCCTCCCTCGTTTGATCAGGTGGTCCAACACAACCAGTCCATTGGTAAGGCCATGGAACTGTCAGATTTGGACTAGGTGGTGGACCGGTGGCTCCAGTTTCTTTTTTTCAGCAGAACATTCATTTACAGTGCGATTATTTTTGATTTTTGAATCATTTTTATGGACACATATTTTTTTAGAATGCCTGACTGACAATAAAGGAACTGTGTTGATACTGATAGTGTTTTGCCTTGCTTTTTTTTACTGCATCTTCCCATGACATCATGATCTTCCTGCTCTCTTTTTGCTATTGGACTTTACTTTATGGCTGTACAAACCTGTGACATCACTCACAGCATTTATTGTTCTATCCCTTTCTTTTCTTTTTTTGACAATCTTATCCTGTACTACCTACGCAGGATTCGTCAGCGTACATTCCTTCCTTCATATTCTTTCTCATTCTTTTTGCACAGCTATACTGTGCATAGCCTACTTTTCTTTTACTATATAAACCCCTGTATTTTACCTTGTAAAAAAAAGGAACAGGAAATCCAATCCAGACTTCTTCTCTACTCTCAAGTTCACTACTCTGCTACTTGTGATCCAGTGTGGTCACAACACTTCCCACTTCTACCACTGTCAACTGCTGTCATCGTCACTTCCCACTTTTGAAGTCATTGTCATCCCTTTCGATTAGAGTCCTTCTGAGCACTACAGTTTGTGCGTCAGGAGCCTGCTATCACTGGGAACCTCGTCACCTCGTCATCCTCGTCGTTCTCAAACCTACCTTGTGCTACCATTAGCAAGGTAGTGCTCGTCTATACTCGCCACAAAGCACCTATCTTCCTATAAATTCAACTATCCCTCCTCCTCAAAACCCACACTCATACACCTCTGGGTTTTACTTTGAAGGATCTTTATATGTACCACCCCACGAACAACCAGACCACTCCACTGTTCTAGGAGGCAAAGCCCATAAACAAGTTCCGTGGAATCTGGGAGGATTGTGTGTTAGTTTGTTTTGTGTGTGGTTTTCTAACAACAGTTCTCATCATCGACAGCGTGTTCAGGGACCATATCCTCATGATGAGGTACGATCCTAAATAAGGTGTTATTAGTATTACCAGGCTTTACTGGGGCTTGGAGCTGGTTGGCGAGATGCCTACTACCAGTCTCTACCCAGTGTGCTGGCTGGCTGGGAGCGATACCCAGTCTCTGATCTGTGATATAAAATGGTAGCGATGGTTAAGAAAGCCTGTGAGGGCTATGAGAAGTAGAACGGCAAATGATACCTCTAGCCCTAGAGCCAGAGGCGTAATGGGAAAAGTGTTTGAGAACCAAGACATAGCGAAGATAAGGAAATAATAAAACGGTCCTTACAATCTCTATTCCAGTCACTTCTTTCAACAGATGTTGGGAGCCATTGTTTCAATTTGGGCACCACTTACTTGTAAGTCTCACTTTGCTTATCTTTTGGCACCCCTTCTAAATTCTTATATTCTTCACAGCCCAAAGGCGGCAGGGGCAGCATGGAGATTTACATGACAAACAACGAGTGAGGCACATGACTGGTGTAAGTATCACATTCATTCTTGCAACTTACCAAGACAGTGTTGCATAGTAGCTCATCTGACTCGCCACACTATTCCAACTACAAGCTTATCCAACCTTCCATCTCTAGCGATCTTCCAGTCACATCCATCAAGAATGTTGAAAGCCATCGGTATCGATTTGGGCACCACTCACTCATTGGGGTTCCAGTCACATCCATCAAAAATGTCAAAAGCCTTCGATATCGGTTTCCCGTGAGCTGCAAGGAGATTTGCAGACCCAACCACAAGTGCTGGGGAGTGAGGTTCAGTAAAGAAGGTCACAAGGGAGTTGCTATGGGCAAGGATCAAGAAAGTCATTGTATGTATGTAGTTACACTCGCTATTACAATACTAGTTACTTCCGCTCCCACCCAACTGTGTCCATCCCAAAACATAATCGTCGTCTGAAACCTCATCTGATGAGTATATTACACCTGCAGCGAAGCCTTGTGCTTTGTCATGAAGTCGAGGCCGGTAAGGTGGGAAATCCACGATGGCAATGAAGTCCAGGTCAGGGCGTCCATCTCCACGCGAAACTGGCTCAGATCTCATCATCGTTTGAAGGACCTTTTGGTCATGCAGATGGAAATGATCGAGTAGCATGGAATATACATCCCAGGCCATGTTCATGGTGACAAGAGGATTTCCGGCGTCTGAGAGGAAAGTTGAGGCCAGTTCATGGAATGCTGGTGGTACTAGAAGGAAAACTTCATGATTGGGGCTTGCATACTTCTCGCGCACTTGCTGGAGGAAAGGACTATGTAGGTTGACCTGTAAATAATGATAAGCAAAAGCTATAGTAAATATTTTGAGTTGAACACGTACCATGAAATCACTTGAGTCCCAACATGTTGGCTGTCGAAAAATGTTGTCAGGACAACCCTGGGGAAGAATCTTGTTCTTGTTGCAACGAGGGCATGTTGTGTTGAAGCGATCAGCAAAATGATCAAGCTCGCTCTATAACCATGGGATGAAAATAAAGTGAAAGATAAGCCTATGCGGAAACTTGATGAACGGAAAGTAGTTACATGAGAGAAAAACACTCACCGCTCTAAGGCGTTGTTGGGGTTGTATAGGCCATTGTTGAGTCCTTCATCCATGAGTATCTCAAATCCAGGGGACCACCGCTTTTGCAACTGACTCCAGAAAATCTCCGGCTTGATGTTACGGTGCAATCCTTTGAATGCGTGCTATAATGTTCGGTCAAGACCAGGGTTGTGCATATGACGCAGGAGAGTCTGGGCATTTGCTATGCCATTGTTCTCAGTACCTGGGTCACTCTGGGTGACAAGCGGCATGCCTAAAATATGTTGCTAGTCATTAATCAATGATAACATAAAGGTTTAGTACACATACCACCTAATTTCTCTACAGTATCGCAGTACCATGCACAGATTAATCACGGATTATGGTTCGTCCACCAAATCTTGAGCCATAAGATCTTACCAGAGAACGGTTCCAACCCCACGTGAAGGAAAAGTTGAAACCGCCTCCACTTGTCATGTTGGTCAAAGGTCCATAGGTCGTTTACTCCTGCAGTCCAAAAGTAACTACATTTCAGCCTGCAACGTTTGCGTGCTGCAACCTTATTAGGATGCACTTTGTATTAAGAACAAAGCTTAAAGGAAGTGTCTAGCCACTTGCTGAGAGCAATCAGGGACTGGAACTAGAGTCCAATGTGAGTAACTGTATTATTAGAGAGTATGACAGGTATACAGTACCTAGAGTCCAATGTGAGTAACTAGAGAATAGGAAGCATTGGACTCTGCAGTACTGTCCGAAGTTTGGTAAACAAAGGTAAACAAAGCAGCCACAAAGGCGAAATAATAGAGAACACAATCAATAGTGAATGATAGAAGAATAGATAGAGAAAGGAATGAAAATATATAGTTAGCACAAAGGTGCAGAATCACCAAAACTAACACTTTGTTCATGTACTCAAGGATTAGTTGGCTGTTATTTTGGAGATCAGGTAACTTGGATCAGAGCTCTATATTATATTACTTACCGGGGAGCCATTATTCCCTCCTCATCACGTAACACACCCTTCATGTCGTGGGATCCTTGATTTGGGTATCGTTTTTGCAAACATTCAATGGCAGGTCCGACACTTTGCAAGGTGTGCACTTGTCCTTGGGTGCTTTTAAGGCCCCACTGCATGCATTTTTTCTTGAGCAGAGCGAGACTTGAAGATTCTAATGTTAGTATATCAGAGTGTGGTGAAAGCATAATATATGCACGACAGGCTGCATTCCGTTGCATCAAAAGACCCCTTCAGGGACATGAGAATGTCCGGATTTGAGTACCCGGCAGCGACATATTTCTCGATCAAGGGTCAAATTACATCATCTGGAGCTATGTTTAACACACCACAACTTAGCGTTGGATACAGCTTAAGGAATGCAAAAATGTACGCGGCTGTGTGCTACTTCCATTGAGTCCTTTGGGGTTGGGCATGAGTGAAGCAAGCTGGTAAGGAGAAAGCAACTTGCGAGCAGCTGTAAGACAGGAAGTCCAATTTGTAAGCTTGTTCCACTTATCGCCATCCTCATGTTTTCCTCCTGGAGGAATTGCCGTAACATGGGAATCCGGAACTCAGAGGCGGCCTCTGAGTCACCAACAGATCACTTGAAGAACCTGATTGTTGTATTCACAAATGGCAGCACTGGAGTGATGTGCTTGGAGGGATGCAGCTATAAGATGAGGTCAAATAGAGCTGTGAGTAGGTCAGCATCTTTACACAATTTGCTACACTATCATAGTTGACTTTACACCTGTTTCTAATTGCAAGGCCAGGCAGAAATGCGAGCACTGTTTGACATATTTTGACTGCAATGTTATATTTGTTTACATCAAGGCTATGAATGGTTCGGGTAGACATTGTTGTCCCAAATGTACCGAGCACTATGACCGAAGGCGCCAGGCTGAGGATGTGGACCAACTTCCCATTGGTAGTAAGTCATATGGCCTATATGATGTTATCCGCTGATCTACCAATCACTACCAATCACTGATTGATTGGTGCTATCAGACTTCACGGCCATTCCCAATCTGTGAGGAATCAAATTTTCTTATCGCATTCCCGTCATGTCGTGGTTAACAGACTCGATCCCTGTCACTCCTCTTGCTCTTGGACTAGAGATCACAGCCGGTATCTTATTACTTTTATCCTTTTTCTTCTTATTCTCTATTCACACTCACGTCCTATTGTACTTACAACAAAGGAGACCTGTTGTAGACCCTCGAGAAGACATCCAAATGACATAGCAACGATCCAGTGCTATGTCTGGGAATACTTCGGAGGGATATTGATAAGCGAAGAAAGTTGTGAGTCAGCACCTTCTCATGGGCTTACTGATACAGCCAATTGCACACCCCTTACCAATACTTTTCTCATATGATTAGTAAATACAATAGATCAGACCACTTTCTCCTTCTTTTCCTATTGGTTAGACAGTTGGTCAGACCACTTTCTTAATTCTTTCCTTTCTCGGTCTGACCCTTGCCGTTCACTATATAAAGAAGTACATGCTCGATGTATTATTCTTTAGTTCAATATTAGTTTGGATTTGCGCCTATACCAATACTCTTCGAAACTCATACCCTGATTCATCGCCTTCCAGCAAGGACTTGACCAGGCATTGTATTTTGTTATATAGCTTCGTATTCGTTGCCTGACATGTCTTCGTTGATGAGCTCTTTCCTACCCCCGCTTTCCCTATTCAGACCATCATCTTCCTACACGGAGGAGATATTGTCGCTAAACGGTGGTACTACCGGCTTCAACCTAGCACAACAAGTGCTTCAATATTGGCTTCACCCTTGGGCAGGAAGCGGCTGGCTATCAAAGATGAGTTAGCAAAAATGCTTGTCGAAGCCAACTGCATGTATTGGGGGTGTAGTTTGATGAAAATAGTTTATCAATTCATCAGCAATTCTAACCGCAAAGAAGGTCCCACCGAACTCCCGCCTCCCACAGTACCTCGCTTGCGTATGGTCCATTCTGCCATTGCTGTGCCAGTTGTGCCAAGTCTGAAAAGTGCAGTGTACCTGCTGGAGGAGCGAATTGAGGCTGACTTTGTGAAGTATATCAATAACAATAGCGCCTCACCTTGACCTGGCTTGAATGACGAGCAGAAGTTGATCGCCGAGTTTCTTTGTTTTGCGCAACATGTCCAGTACCATCTCTCACATGGTTTGGCTTTCTTGTCTGATTTTCAAGGTAGTTCTTTTTCTCTTATGTCCTAATTGCACAACTTACTGAATTGTCGACTCCTTTTGCAGGTGCCGGTTTTCTGTTGACTGATTGCCAGGTGATCACAGCAAGGTAGGTTTCATTCTGAGTCATTTTGCCTACCGGCTCATTGTATGTCTTAGGATTTATGCCACTTGTTTTGGTGAAGGCAATTGGACGGAAACTCTGTATAATTTCCCTTATCTTCACTGCTGCAACACTTACTGTGCTTACTACAACCTTGGTCCCATTGTCGAGACTCGAGGTCATTGTCCTCAGTTGGCATCTTCAAAGTCAAACATACCGGACAAAGGTGATGATACGAACATCCAGAGCACTCGTCGCGAGTGTTGAGTGTTGCTTTTATGTCGTTTTATTTCACTTTGTTGTAGTCTCCCACTCATCACTCCGTATATGTTTTTTGAACTTGTCTTATACTCTCTCAATGGCGATCTCTGTAACGCATCACAGTATATTGTAATTACATGGACATTAAAGTTTGATTTATGGTTAAGGTACACATTTTTCGATCAGACCCATCGGGATTTTAAAAAAATTGTTGCCGCGATACGGCAGTTCCGAAACTCGAAGTGTAACCATTCATCCACCATAGTACCGTATTACCTACAAGCCTGTGTCATTTCTTATTTCACAAACCTGGCATGGCTATATCAAGGCCATCTTCCTTCTCAGACTATAATCTGTCAACTTGCGGAATGGAACGAACCACTTGTGCGCTGCGTAGTCAGCGAGGCACAAGGGGGAAGACCTGGAATATCGATGTTGCTGGCATAGGTCAGCTGCAACACGTTATCTGGGCGCGATCCACAAAATCAAATCTACGAAATAGGAGGAACAAATGGAAGTATCGAATGTGAAATCTGGCAGGACGTATGGAAGGCGGAAACATTGTCATGATATATCACATCGGTAATTTTATAGTACCGGGAGGATTTGCAAGATCTGCTAACGCCAGCGTCACTGTGTTATTTCGATACGAAGGAACGTGCAGGATTCATCCTCAGCCTCAGGAAAATTCTTGGAAAGATCGAGTCATGTGGATAGCACTAAGACCGCCCATAGGTTGATGTTCTGAGGAAGTGAAAATAATAATTTGGAGTACCTAACTCCAAAAAAAGGCCTAACAGGATGCATAGACACTACCAAATGACGAAACACCCGCACCGTTGCATTGCACCGTGACTTCACTGATATATAAGTACTCTGACTTACTCTCATTCTAACCCTCAGTATTCCTCACATTGAATAATGTACGTGTCTGTCTTACACTTGATACTTAAACTAATTTTTGACTCAGTTCATCATGTCTAACCCGTCGACGTTCACCCCAGTTTACCAGTCGGGTAGTGGCATTGGAGGCTTCAACCTACTCTCCCCCGCAGATATATCATTCGCCTTCGATTATGACCACTCGGGCAGGCTTGACCATATTGTCCTCTATCAACCCGGGGCTGGTACTATCTGGATTTTGAAGCGCGATGGCGCTATATTCAGCGCAGTATATGCGCAAGGTGCGCCGGGCAACGGCATCGGTGGTTATGACCTAGCATCCACTGCAGACCGCGTCTTCGCATTTGACTATGACCACAGCGGCAAACTTGATCACCTCGTCCTTTATCGTCCCAGCACAGGCATCGTCTGGATTTTGAAAAATGACAAAGGAGTCTTCAGTCCAGTTTTTCAGTCGAACACCGGGATTGGAGGGTTCAACCTTCTATCACCTGATGACAGAGCCCTCGCCTTTGACTATGATCATTCGGGCAAGCTTGATCATCTTCTTTTCTATCAACCCGGTGCTGGAACCGCCTGGATTTTGAAGAACGTTAAGGGGGTGTTCAGTGCGGTCTATGCACAAGGTGCACCTGGTAATGGCATTGGTGGTTACGATTTGGGTTCGACTGCCGATCGCATCATTGCATTCGACTATGAACACTGCGAAAAACTTGATCATCTTGTCCTCTATCGCCCCAACACCGGCATCGTATGGATTCTGAAAAACGATAAAGGAACTTTCAGTCCTGTGTATTCATCTAACTCTGGGATTGGAGGATTCAATTTGCTATCACCCAATGACCATGCCTTCGCTTTTGACTACAACAAGGATCACAAGCTTGACCACCTTACCTTCTACCAGCCTGGTGCAGGTACCATCTGGATTTTGAAAAACGACAAAGGAGTTTTCAGTCCAGTCTACGCTCAAGGTGCACCGGGTGTGGGTATTGGCGGATATGATTTGGCTTCCACTGCAGACCGTGTCTATGCATATGATTATGGTGATGCGGAGCCAGGTTCCAAATCAGGAAAAGATGATGGCAAGAAGCATCACGGGGGAAACGATCATCTGGTTCTCTACCGTCCCAACACTGGTATCATATGGATCTTGAAGAACGACAACCCTCGTGACAATCGAAAGTAAGGAGTTCAGGGGCAGTGCGCGATGAGGAGTTGTCGTCTTGTTTTTCCTCATTAACAACTCGAATCCATTCATCCATCCATGGTCACTTTCATCGCCCCCTCGTCGATATCTTCTTGACTTTCTACATAACCCTTTGAATATAGGAATTAGTGGAGTTGTTTCTTTTATCTGTACGTGTATAACTCTTGGTTCTGTGGCTGCTTTACACCTGAATTTGCTTTGATGTCTGTATATATCTGTACCGTCCTGATCTGTTCTTATATTATATGGAGTTCAACTTTCTGAGCCTGGACATGAATTCTTTGAGGTTTAAACTGATGCTGTACAGACAGTAACGTGGAGGTTCAAGGCTCTGTTCAATGTTCGCTATTATTTTTGTGTTCCTCGTTTGTCAAGTATTCTCTAAATTCAGTGAATCAAGTCCGTAACGTAGCGCTACTAACGATGTCGGGCTCAACTTGTTAAGTCACATTATAATTCCTTTTATCTGAATCTAGAACCCGACCGCTTTGTTCAAGTTGATTTTCCTATAACCTAGATCTTCCAATTTCTCCTGTGCTCGCTCCCAGAAACTTCGTGCAGGTCGCTGTACGTACTCGTCTTCTGCTGGACTATCTCCCACATTTTGTTACGAATAGCCAATCTTCTTTCATCAGCGAAATCAGCTGTGCAAAGCATCTGAGAGATGACAGACACATCGTTCCTCTTCAGCTCGTTAAGCTTGGGCGCCGATGTGATAACAGTTATTGCTACCAAGTTGGTCGCGATTTCTGATATCTTCTTTGAAGTGAACTGGTAGGCAAAGAAATTGACATCCATCCTCGATATACCCGATCTACCAACGGATATGACATATGTGGAAGTCGATGATTGATTCGCTACAAAATTTCCAAATAGGCGATCCATTGCGATGCCCATGATCTTTGTGACTCCTGGGATCTTGTACGTATGGAATAAGCAGCCCGCATATCAAAGATTGTCCCAAAAAACGATACATACTATGTCTGCACATACACGATCATCAAATTCATCTGTAAATTACGGTGCCCGTAAGTAATTAATGGTGCAAAACACAATGAACACGGGGCTTCACCTGATATAAAGGTACTAATAGCAGTTGAATCGTTCGAAACCCCAGTCCTGATGAACCAATCCTTGCGAAATACTTTGTCAATATGGATAGTCTTGGAACTATGGTCAGATTGTATCCTCTCTTCAAAGCTCTCTCGATGATCATTGTGAAGGGAAACGAAACTGTAAAAGATATCGCGGGTTAATCGCTCTTTATTGACATCATCTAATGACTCGAATGACAATAAGTTGCCCATGATGGTAATGGTGAACTCCAGAATACGAGGATAACAGTAATCAACGGCACATTTATATCGGATTGGGGGCCACCTTTGTGTGAACGATCATCGATCATTATCTGAGCTGAATGACCACAGATGACGGATGCGAACAATTGTAAGTACGTCGGATAAGCTAAATTTTTCAGATGAACGGAGCTCGAAGTAAATTATAAGCCGTTCGAAATGAAAAACAGCCCAATGGAGAATTTCTTCTAGTAAATGGTCACTGGGTGCAAAAAGAAGTTACTTCATTGTACTGATGGCTTCCACCGAACCTGGGTTATTCCTCTAGCGGAAACACAAATATCCTGGCTTTTGAAATGCATCAAGGAATCCCGCTCATCCCCACATAGGCAGATTACTTCAAGTTACGATAAAAAACAAGCGCAAGAACAAAAGATGCACTTCGAACAGATACAGTTGAAGCTGGCCTAGAAGACTCTTCACCTAAACAAGCAGTCATCGATTCGACTGGATAAGAAACGATGCGCCCCCTTTAAGATTAGCGTTTCAGCTTGTAGCTTGAAGCTTGGACCACATGGTTTCCCCATCGACGCCTTTGAGCGAGTTTTATAGAAAAGTCGATCATTTCATTGGATATACCCCGCCTCTCAGCGCATCCGTACATCGACGTCACAGTATAAAAAACGAAACCTAGCTTAAAATGTGTTGTAACGTGCTATATAAACGCTAATGGTTGCACAGAAAGACCATGTCCATACCTTGTACACGCCTAAACTATCGGTATAGCATTCGCTCTGGATTCACATCCAAAAGACTCGTTACGATGACATTGATGGATGGTGTGGGTGAATTGTAGCGATTGAGACGGAGGGTTCAAAGTTCTAGCAGCGTTTGAGTTGGCGGCACGGAGATGGAGAATAATTCTGCATGACAGAACACTATGCATGGTATAATACACTCTGTAGAAAAATATTATCAAAACAGACAGGTTAAAGCGTGTACCAATGTGCTAGAATCACGTACATGTCCAGCATAGGTTTCAAGCCCGGCTGGGGATGTAACATTTTGAGTGCCCTACCGGTAAATGGGAGCAGAAAATGACATACAGGGAAAGTTGCAAACGCGACAACATTAGCAACAGACAAAGCTGGATGCAAGAGACAAGGTATCAGCTTTTAACAGGAATTAGTGCACGTGCGAGTTTTACCCAATATACACAGATAAAAGCCAATACCATCTCTGTACAGAGTCTGCAATATTGGATTAGTGGTGTGGCGGTGATACACATTTATCCGGTACAAAAGTAGGGTTAAGAGCACTGTGGACTCGGTGAGATATATGAAACGACTTCAAGGACAAAATTGATGCTTACCGGTCTCGTGAAATATGACGCATGATATAATAATTAGCGCATATATGACACTGTCCGGACGCGTCATAGGATTACATCCTAATAGCTCTTGTTCTGGGACAACTACTCTCGGATTCATAACTGATCAAGAGAAAGTCAAGGGTGGGGACTCACAAACGAGGGAGTGCACATAAATGAAGGTCGATACGAGCATGGTCACAATAATGACCTGATATTGAGTTGTCATTAAATATCCAAGTGAAGTTGCTGGAACCGAACCATATATAGACACACCAGACAACGACAAGACTTTTTGCTGCCAGACCATATTGCAATCGTCCGTAGAACAAGGATTCCTGGAGTGACTCGAAGATAACCATCATATTTGCGAGGTAAACATGCAGAAGGAACTTACCTTCTGCTATCGCAACACTGGTTACGCCGAATACTGTGTAGAAATGATAAGCATAAATGACAAGTTTTCATAGATAAAGAAGAGGAAATCTACCTGCACTGGCCAAATTAATCTTCTTGCATGTCTGAGTACCACGATCAGATTTAGACACAAGAAATGACAATTGCACGCACATTGCTGGGTATATCGGAGCCAAGAGTCACTTGGAGAGTGTCAGCTATAAGCCGGCTCTCAGGTATTACCCACGCACGAATCAAGATTGGAATGGTTGCAACGAACATGTTGTAACGCGAAAAAAGGAAAAGGAATTTGACAGGGCTCCACCTTGATTTCCAAATCAGCTGAACCTGGTATGATATATAAACAAGGAGACAATGACAAATTAATAAGTAGCACGTTACTTCTTCTTCAAATGTATTGAAGTATTCTAGGAGCTACAGCGCAGACATTGAGCTGGGAGTATACATGTCCGCTAGTTGAATCACACACCAAAACTGGTAAACAAGCGACTGCGAAATCGCTGTTATTGGTCGGTGTAGGACCAATGTCTTTGCAAACGCACCATATACATACTGGGCAATCGGTATGTTATTTGATCAATTCAAAATGATCAACTTAGCATGCTTACCTTGACCGATTGCAGTTGAAAGGCCAAGGAGCTTGCAGGACTCGCTGAAAAGGATGACATGGCGAGTCACGAGAGTTGCTGTTGATACGCTCACTTATACCCTGCCTAGACCCTGTATGAGCAGATGTCTTTCTTGTGTGTGAGCCAAAACTGATGATCAGGAGAGGCAAAGCACCACAGCAATGGGCGCGTGACCAATGTCCTAATCACAGCTCGAGTCTCCAGCTCGCGGGAGGCTGATTACACTGTCAATTGAGGGTGAGGTCTGGGGAACTGAACTGACCTATTTTTATGGTGCTGAGACCATTGTAAAGACGCGTAAGACGTTAGAGAATCGACGAGCAAGTGCCACAGAGCGCCAATCCCAATCCCTAGACACGAGAACCAAAAACTTCTATCTCTTCTGCTTTCCTAAAAGGGCGTCGACTTGAAATAGTACTTACCATTATCAGTTTAGCCCTGAGATGCATATTAATGGTATTGGGTAAGAAGCCTTGCGTGTAGTTTGGAAAATCAATTGAGGGTTCTAATGCTTATGAAAGTGGTCGGATGTAGGCAAACTCGAATGTGAATTCTGTCCTCGAACTCAGAATTGACTTCTGGCCTGAAATAGCTAGCAGATATTTTGCTACAGAACATTCTGTGATAGTGGTGCCATGCCATTGAGAGCACCAGTTTAACATACCTTTCTGAGTTAAGAGAAACAGCACCTTCGTATGTTGAGTTCAAGTTGACATTATGCAAAGGCCGCTACTGGTAAAAGCAACGGTAGGCCGCGGAGTCCAATTCGACTCTGGTACAGAATTTTTGCAAGCGCTCTGTGGCTGGTTCATATCACCATCATGTCTTCCAGCGTCGTCTTCATTTTTGAACAATGCACCCCCGGAAAGGTCATTGAACGACGATTCAGGAGTCCCAAAGCGCGGGAACACCACCATATGGCGCGACAGAACATCTCACTCACCCCAACCTCTCCACACTCCATTCTCGCGCCAGCATGATGTGGACACAACTGAGATAGGCTCTCTTGCGCACGTGAACTCGGTTTGGGAGTGGAGTTTTGTCGACGACAAGTGGTCACGGAAAACAACACTTCTGGTTTGATTGTCCGCTCGAGGACAACAAATGGATGACTGACTAGAAGTTCAGAACGAACAACAGATGGACGGGTGAGGGTGTAAGGTAGGCTTATTCTCATTGGCTCCCCGCGATCGTGATGTCAGATCATCATTCCTCTTAGCATTCCATTCATTCCTTGCACTAACGAATAAGCCAGCATAATTCACTGCCTTAAACACTAACTCGCAATTCCCCCTTTTATCTATACACACTAGTCTGGAATCTATTCCGTCAGATTCGAGTGTTTGCAGCTCACGGTTCACTTCCAAGGTCTAAGGAAACGAACGACGTCAAGGCCTTATCCCATTTTCTGCCAAGCCATCAAGAAGGTCATTATTATTCCACTGTGCAACTATCCAACGAGCCATACTTCCCATATAGCAACAATCTACTTTTCCCTGCATCCGAACACTGTAGGCCATTCACCAAAGACCTGCTTGGAGCCAAAACTCCTACTTGTCGTCTGCCAGAACAATGCAGCTTTTTGCCCTTTTCCTAGCCTTGGCTGTGTCATCAGTCTCGTCCCGCCGGTCAATACTTACCGATCAGACATGTTATTGTGACACGGAAAAGCTTTTGGATTACACCAGGACCAAACATTGTTGTAAGCAACTTGGAGGAGATTACTATACTCATATTAAGACCTATTCATGTGTGCCGGATGGTGATCACGCGAACTGGTTTGGAGGGTGTTGCGGTCAGCATGGTTATGCAGCAAACTGTTATATTGATAATTTAACGAATCCGGAGTAGAATGATGATGAAGACGGTTACATAGTCTGAGACCTTGTGATGGGCCTGTCTATCCTATCCTTACATTCCTTACCATCCAAGAGATTAATATAATCCTTTTACTCTCCTTACGATGCAAACCTGTCAGTGTTCGCTTGCGACCACTTGAGCTTCATTATTTTATTTGTGGCGCAAAGATGAGAAGTGGTACCTCTATGTCAAGTAAATCCACAGTCTAATAGGCAAGAAACCTTTAGTCAGAATGCAAGAGTGTGGAGGGATAATGCTTTACCTTTGTCCAGATCTCACAATCTTTGATCAAACGCCTGTTTTAGTATATCAGGCGATACATGCCATCTTTCTGACGGACTAAATATGCTCATTAAAATTCAATTTGATTCATTTATTCGTTTTAGAATTGATGTTGTATATATTTTATGACTATCAGGCACTTGGCTCAACACTGATATGATTTCACAGAAAGACCACATCCATACCTTGTATTCCTCTAAACGCCTAAACCATTGGTATATCCCCCGTTCTCGACTCACATCTAAATGCCTCAATACGATGGCATTGACGGACGACGCGGGCAAATTGTAGCGATTGAGATGGAGGATTCAATGTCCTAGTGACAGCGTCGACATTGACAGCACGAAGGTGGAGAATAATTCGGCATGATAGAACGCTATGCACGGTATAATACACTCTAGTGGAGAGTCACGGCATGGTCAAAGTATGTAAGCGATCGTGCATGATAATGGGCTGAAATCACGTACACGTCCAGTACAGGTTTCAAGCCAGCCTGGAAGTGGAAGAGTTTTGAGTGTGTGTTTTTTTATCAGCATGTGAGAGCATAAACATAAAGAGACGTACAGGGAAAGTCGCAAACGCAATAACATTGGCAATAGATAAAGCTAAATGCAAGGCGTTCAAGAGAAACAAAATGTATGAGCATGTTTGAGAGGTGTCAGTGCACGTCAGTTTACCTAACATACATAGGTAAAAACCAATCCCATCGGTATACAGAGTTCGCAACAGTGGGTTGGTGGTGTGGCGGAAGAGTGTGATTATCCGGTATACAAGTAGAGTTAAAATAACTACGGACGCCCCAATGAGTAGTGTGGATATGCTCAAGGACAAATTGAACGCTCACTGGTTTCATGAAATATTACATATGATACAATGACTAGAGCGTACGCAATACTGTCTGGATGCGTTACGGGATTGCATCCCAGTAGTCCTGGTTCTGAGACAACTATATTCGGGCTTCATGGCTGAACGATATGGAATAAAATAGCGGAGACTCACATTCGAGGGAGTTCACATAGATGAAGGTAGATACTAGCATGGAGATAATAACAGCCTAAATTCAAGTCGTTGTTAGACACTGGAAAGGCGGAGCTGAAGCACTACAGCCAGACCAGATATAGAGACACTAGGCAATAACGAAATGTTTTGCAGCTAGGCCAGATTGCAATTGTCCGAAGAAGAAGTATCGCTGGAAGGACCAAAAGATAAATAAGTGTTATATTATCAATGAAATCCAGATGAACTGTTTACCTTCTGCTACAACGATACTAGTTACGCCGAGGACTGTGCAGAAAGCGTGGGCATAAAGAGCAAGATGAGAAAAGGAGGATCTACCTGCACTAGCTAGATTTATCTGCTTGCATTTCTGGAATCAGAATTTGGATCAGGATAGATAAGGACGGATAAAGTACACGCACAGTACTAGGTATAGCGGGGCCAACGGTCACTTTGAGAACATCATTTAAATAGTTAAACGTAGAGATTCAGATAACATTCACTTACGTATCAAAGTTGGGATGGATGCAGCAAACATGTTGTACCGAGAGCAAAGGAACAGGACTTTGGCAAGGCTCCATCTTGATCTCCAAATCAGCTTAACCTGACACGACACCTTTAGTGAAAGCAGACAGCGACAACCAGAAAAATTAACAAAATACCTCTTCTTCAAACGTGTTACAATATTCCAGGGCCTACAGCGAGACATTAATCCAGGAGTCACGTTAACATTGTTGGTCAGGTGCACTACATACCAAAACTGGCAAACAAGCGACTGCAATCATGCCAAGGTAAGTTGTTATTGATCCTGGACTTTAAATTATGATCGTTGCAAACTCACCATATATGTACTGAGCGTGATTTCGATCAGTTAATCCACCAAGCTAATAACCAAGAGGATGGGCTTACTTTGACTGATTGAAGTTGATAGGCCTCAGAAATTGAGGAGCTCATTGAAACGGATGTAGCGTCAAGTTGTGAGCAGAGGTGTCGTTTGAGATATGTAGCAACTGTAATTTTATGAGCAGATTCCAGCGTCTTGTTTGAGGCTCTGGATTGATGATCAGTCACAGCGGAGGTAAAGTGTCATCATAGTAACCTGATAAAGATAAGAATGTGCCTGATTGCAGTCCAATCTCCTATATCTAGTTCGCGTGGAGGGCTATTAACATAGCCAGCGAAAGGCATGTATAACCATCACAATCATATTTGCTTGTGCATGTTCAAGGTTGCAGACTTGAAAGACGCACTTGCAAGATGTTGATGCTCGAGACATAGATCACAGATAAAGATCGTGAGTGTGTAGTAGAATCAACACGACACTGAGGACAGGTGAGTTGGTAAGGACTATAACAGAGCGTTGATCCCTTGAAACCCGACCATCTTCTGCAGGGCGTCTGCTTAAAATAAGACCTTACCATTGCCATCATCAGTCTAACCAATGATCTATCTTAGTAGACTCTTGTTCCCGGTGACTGATCGAAGATTCTACGACCTTCAAGTTGGACAACGATGAAATGTGGTTTTTCCAACGATACAGGTGTCTAAGACTTGAGAACAATCGGCTGGCGTACATGTGTCCTTGAATTTATCAAACAAACATTGTCGGTAGATGAGGGCCTGCAGAAGATAGCACTGGCCACTTGGATACACATTCTGACAAACATGAATCAAAGAGACCACTGGTATGTCTGATGATACCGTTTGAGATGGAGGAAAAGTGTGACTTGCGTTATGTTTTGACTCTTTTGAGACTTTGGCTGTGATCATGATCATATTGATCTAAGAGCCAAACACGATCTAACCGTCACTCCGAGTCCACACTCTGACAAACATTCTTTTTTCAGCTTCCCAATATTTCATGTTCTCTTCTGTAGCGTCACCACCTCAACAATTATGTGTGAGGTATTCCTGAATCTTTACATGAAATGCAAATGTGTCAGCGAGACGAGTCTACTCTGCCAGCGTAGTGGTGTCCTTGAATGTATCGAACACAAGTCAAAAATTGGGGGGCCTGCAGAAGATACCAGTGATCACTTGGATACATATTCTAACAAATATGGATCAAAGAGACCACTGGTACGTCTGATAAGACACTTTGAGATGGGGGGAAAGTGTCACTATGTTTTGAGACTTGTCTACTCATGATGGTTCGAGTCTGAGAGATCATGATATCGATCTGACACTTTATCCCATCAATTTGGACTCCGACAAACATTCTGTTTTGGGCATTCTCGGGTTTTCATCTTCGATTCTGGTCTATGCTGAGATATTCGCTCCAACTTGCCTACGGGTCTGGGGCTATACCTCATAGCAAACATCCACGTTCAAAACCCAAGTTTCATGGATCATGAAGAAGAAACGAGCAACAAACTTTCGTGTACTCACTGTCATTCCGTTATATCCTGATCAACTGAATGGTAAACACGACATGTTCAAGCAAAAAACAAACCAAAGAATAGAAGCAGATAAAGAAAATTGTCGTGTTGAAAGTGAGTAAGCCGCATTGAGCTGATGACCCACCCATAGGCGAGTCTACAATCGTAAGACAAACCACCGCATCCAAGCCATGTAAGTCGTTCGCCAATGATCTGCCTTGCCTGGGTACGAAGCGAAGACTTTGCTTGCCGTCTGAATCTACCACAGCAACGAACCCGAAGTGACTCGGAAGCTTTTCCCCCCTTGTCCCAGCCTTGGCACTAACACCCATCGTCCGTATCATCCCAAGACACTCTCAAGCCCCCAACCCCGGATTTGCACAGCCGAAGACGTCAACAAGAGCCTTTCTATTCAAGTTGGACGCTCCAACGACGATGATCCGCTGCTGAATGCTCTGAGACCCATGCGACGGCCCCGGAACTTCATGACGTGGTTCGGAGGGTGCTGCAAAAACGGAACGTGACACGTTTTCTGGAGTATGGTGCAATTAGGCGAGGGACGACAGGGAAATGGGACTGAGAAGGAAAACTTGAAGGAGGACTTGTGTGTGTGTGTGTGTGTGTATGATTCTTTTTTTGTTTTTTCGGGTCCTACACTCCCCAGGTGACCAGGCGCGTCTCTTCACATTCCTTGCCGTCCAAAAACGTAGCCTTCCTTCCCCTGGTCATGGTGACGCCGACGAAGGAATATACGGCAGTCGTAGGCCAGGCAGATCATTGACGATTTGGTGGGAGAAAGTTGGGTTGTTGAATGATTGAATGATTGAATTTGTGGGCTTTTTGGTGGTGTCGATAACGATTGAGAGCCTTGTTTGCCGTGCTGTCCTGCTGCCATCACGATTGGATCACGGTGTTATCGTCGGTGGTTGGTCAAGGTCAAGCGTGACCGTGTCAGTCTCCATCCGTCACTTGCCCGAGGCCCCCAATGTGCGTCTTCATTCTTCATCCTCATCTTTGATCTCGGACGAAACAAAAAGCGTGTCCTTGAAAAATGACCTCCCCTCCACAGACGCTGCACAGGCGCGTCACGATGGTGGTGTGGTGAGGGACGATGAAGGAGGACGGACGGGTGGATGATCGGACTCACCCTCGCGGTTGTCTCAATCCCCCCTCGACGTCTGGCGCGTCGTGGCTTGGTCAGGTTCAGTGTCATATCATCCGTGCGTTCATGCGTTGGGGTAAGCCTTGGGTGCCTTGGGGTAGGTAGCAGATGCGTCTTGCCGGTCTCGAAGACGGCCGTGACCTTCTCTTTTTCTGTAGAAGGATGGGCATCGTCGAAGAGAGGGCCGGAGGGTCTTGTTCTGAAACTTGACCATGTCCATGATTCGCAGTATATTGAAAACTGATACATGTCAACGTTGTCAATGTTACTACTGCTGTTGCATAGTAGCTCCAACCATCAATCTCACCAACTCAACCTCTCACGTTCCTCCCGTCCATGACGACGAAAGTAGAGCTTTGATAAGAAATAAGAGAAAGGGAGAGTCTCTGTAGTATACTTGGTAGTATGTATATACGTGATATGTACTGGTAGAACGGCGATGGAGAGTCCGAGTCCGTTTGATGAATTATTAATTTTCAGTGAAGTATCAAGGTAGGGGGGTAAGTACGGGGTAAAGGTAAGGCTAAGCTAAAGGGAAGACGGCGGGCGGTCGAAGAAAGTCCTGCTACGAGAAACGATGTGGTACTACAAAGTGACATCAATACTCACCAACCTCTCAGCCCCGCGCTCCCGCACGCCCACCTCCCCGCGGTCCATGTTGGGACCTGCATGATGCGCGCTCGGGCGGCGGAGGTGGGCTTTGGGGCGGGTCGGGTCGGGCTGGGGGTGGGAGGTGGAGGGAGGGGAGGGATCGGATTGGGAACGCGGGTGGAGCTGGTCGGACGAAGCCATGAAATTGGACTTGGTCAGCGCGTCCAAGCCAGCGGGGGGGTTCCTCCACCTATGCGACGAGCCTCCCTCGCTCTGCGGGTGCGCCCTCTTCGCGTTCTCCGCGGTCGTAGCGGTGAGGTGGGAGGCTGAGGTGGGTGCTGGTGCGGGGTTGGCGAGATGGTCCTGCCTCGAGCTCGCCGTGCTCCCACTTGTGGATCCGCTCGATTCGACGTAGGCAGAGCTGGCATAGCCACTCTTCCCACTGCCGCTGCCCGTGCCATACCCGCTCACGCTCGCCCTGCTCCTGGCAGTGGAGCTGCCCCCGACGGTGCTGGCGGCGATGGAGGGATAGCGTGCGCCCCATGCTGAGACGGAGGCGGCGCTGGAGAGGGAGGAGGCGCGTGTGAGGGTGGGTGAGGGGGGGAGGAACGCCGCTGAGCCTGTGGAGAGGAGGGGATAGGGCGGGAGTGGCCCCGCAGTAATGGGAATGGGAGCGGAGGGCGGCTTTGAGGGCACAGACGGGGGACGGGAGGGGGTGGAGGGAGTGGGTTGGGCGGGGAAGGGGTTCGGGAGAGAAGGAGAGGGCGCGAGGGACGAGGTGTCGGGCAGCTCGGGGACGGTGTCCATGCGCAGAGCAGTGCGGGGTCCGCGGCGAGAAGACTTGTTGGCTCTCCTGCCAGATCCGCGCTCTAGATTGCTCTTGCCGGACGAGACCGGCAGAGCGGGTCGGTCGGCGGGAGATCGGGATCTTTGGTAGGACGCTTGGGAGTAGATCGAGCCTGGGCTATCTGGCTCGTCCTCGTCGTCTTCCTCCTCTCCATCGCTGTCCTCGACAGGCTTGGCTGGTTCGTCGCCAAAGTTGACGTGCCACCGCGCAGGATCGCCGAGCTGGAGGGTGTCGACGTGAGGAGCGATCGA